GTTGAGGCAAGTTGGCTGTGGTATAAGGGCTGTAAGCATGTGGTGATGCTGGTTAAGTCTTTAGCTACCCATTACCGTGTAGAATGGAGAGCCAGCGTTGTCTAAGCTGTAACAGGTCAGCCCAGATGTTCATGTAGCCCAGCAACGTGCCCCGGCATGCCCGATAATGGATGCTCAGAGCAAGAGAGTAAGTTGGTGGTTACAGAGTGAGCCTTCCTCCTGTTCCTGCCCTCCTTGTTGTTGGTGATTTAGGTTCATGCAATGATAAAGCCTTTTTTAAGACTCCAAGTCCTTACCTCCTATTGAAGGATGTTTGCGGGCAGAGGTGGTGCTTGGCACCGCTCAGGAATAGCAAGTGAATCACCTCCCCAAATCACTTTGCGTAGGCGTAGAGCACAGGTGAGATTTTTTTACCCCTCCGGTGATCACAGGGGTGAGGTTCTTGTGTGGGTTGTGGGTGGGGTTTTGTGGCATTAGCCAAAATGGTGATGACTTTACCTGCAGGGAAGTCAGGAGCTCTCATTTATATGATGGCTCTATCTTGGTTTTGTTCTTGCTGCTGTAGGTATAACAGTCTGGTGACTGGCAAGCGGGCAAGAGGACTCATCGCTGTGCTGTGGCTCCTGTCCTTTGGAATTGGACTGACTCCACTTATGGGCTGGAATAAAGCCATGAGCGTTTGTCCCAACGCCACCAACGAGACGGAGGCTGACACCGGGACAGAGCACCATGGCTGCTTCATCTCGTGCCTCTTTGAGAATGTGGTAACGATGAGCTACATGGTGTACTTCAACTTCTTCGGCTGTGTGCTGCTTCCGCTTGTTATCATGCTGGGAATCTACATTAAAATATTTATGGTAGCCTGCAAACAGTTGCATCAGATAGAACTGATGGGCAATTCCAGGACCACACTGCAGAAGGAGGTCCATGCAGCCAAGTCTCTGGCCATCATTGTAGGACTTTTTGCCTTCTGTTGGCTGCCCCTGCATATCTTGAACTGCATCACTCACTTCCATGAGGAGTTCTCCAAATCCAAGCCTGAGTGGGTGATGTATATGGCCATCATCCTCTCCCATGCCAACTCTGTTATCAATCCCATCATCTACGCCTACAGGATCAGGGACTTCCGCTACACCTTCCGCAAGATCATTTCCAAGATCCTCTGTAAGACGGACGACTTCCCCAAGTGCAACACTGACAACAACCAGCACCTGACTGTCACCAACATTAACTCTCCAGTGGCCTCTGTGACCATATGACCGTGCACGTCCTGCTCCCAGGGTTTTGCAGTCTGTCCCTGACACTACCCTTCCCTGTGCCTGCGTGGACAGTCACAGCTCACTCCCAGGGGAGTGCTCCGAGATGACCACTGTGCACTTATGCAGCTGTATTTTATTTTTGTAATTAACATAGTGCCTCCTCGAGGAATAACCTGAGCGGGGAGGCTGAGCGCAGCTCACCCTCGACTGTAAACCCAGGTTGCGTGAGTGCTGGTGTTCATATTGTATTTCCTTTCCAGGTCAGACCCTGACTGTGGAAGACCCACCTGCTGGGGGTGTTTCCCCAATCGTGCTGCTCATGTCAAGTCCTAGGATCTTTATTTTAATTATTATTATTATTATTATTTTTTAATCTTTTGATCCATTTAGGAGTAATAATTTTGTGTCTGTTTTTGAGTTGTTCTTTGAGTCCATACTTGACAGCACTTTGGTAATACCCTAATTATTCCATCAATTGTTTGATGCAGATAGTATTCTCTGATGGGAAAAAGTCTTACTTAGCCCAGTTGCTGGTGTGAAACTGAATCTGCGTTCCAGGCTCTGAGGGACGTGACCATGTTGATGGGAAAATAAGATCAGGACTGGCCAGCTATTTTTGGTCCCAGTATGGAAGCCCTAATTACTGGAAGAGAAAAATTTTAGAAAAGGGTTGACTGAAGTTTTAGAACAGCAGTTTTATTGCCTTTCGATCACTGTGGTCTACAGGATTGTGCAGACCAGTGCTTCAGATTTGATTTCAAATTGCAAAAGGCAGAAGTGCCCTAATGCTCCCAGCTGGCCTGATCCAGAGTCGCTGAGGGTAGTGCAAACACTCCCTCCGTGACATAATCTCTACAATTAGGCTTTTGCTCCCAAGTCAACACTTGACAGCCTTGCAGTGCTTCCAGAAGTGCAGGTTTTAGCTGTGACAGCTGGATGCTGCAGCTCACCTGATTCCTAAAATGTGGTCAGTCTTGCTGGGGTTCCTGTGTAGCCCAGTAACCCCAGTAACCCCAGAAGCTGTGAGTGCTTTTTTTTTCCTAATAGTGGGTTTTTTAGTTTTTTATTTTTTTATTGTTTTCAATCCTGACCTGCATCGGTAGCAAAAGAGACTGGCAGGGAGCTAACGTGCTCAAGAAGCCAGAATGCCTTGACTTGCAACCTGATTTTGGCCCAGGTCCTTGGGGCAGAAGCTCATCTCGCAGACTGTCTGGCCTGGCCTCTGCAGTTAGGCACAGAGCCCTGGCCCTTTGTAAGGACAGAGCCCACTCAAGAGAGGAACAGTCTTAATTTGTCCTGCAAGTTAATAACTTTGCAACCACAGCTCGGTAATTACTGCACCTCATTTAGTATGTAGCTGTGATATGCAAAACCAGACCGAGGTGGGAAGAACAGTGGATTCTTTTCTGCAGTACGAGCTCCAGTTCGCGCTGCGTGATGGCACGTGTGCTGCTGTAAGTGAACCACTGCTCCTGGCACGTCTTTCATTTTGCAGGGCAGTTTCATCCCACAACTGAGAGGAACAGGGAGGGGATTCAGAAAAACACCAAACAGCCTCCTCCTTTGTGATTGTGGAACAGAGACGCAGATGTTCTTGACTAGTCCAGACCTGCCATCACCTTCTGGCCCTCTTCAAAGCAGGAGTCTTGCCTGAAGGTCCCTGTGTGGTACAGTGGTCACATCTCTCTCTGAAGCACTCTGTGCCAGCAGCGTCACCGTGTGAGCAGTGAGAAGGGGGAGTGCAAGGATGTGTATTTAATATGGTTTTCAGTGGTGACCCGTGCAGGGAGGCAGAGGCAGGGAAAAGGCCTTTTCGATTTAGAGCCAGGTGGCCGGGAAGGAAGTTTAAACACAGCCAGTTCCTGAAGAACAGGTCCAGTGGACACACTGCGATGCCTGGAGCAGTTTGTCCCTGATAAATTGTACTTGAATCATGTAGAAATCAGCTATTTTTTTTTTTTTTAACTGCATTGCACTAAAAGCTGGGGTGCTGTAAGACCCCAGGAGTTTCATTTCTCTGGTGTATATAATGACAAATACCGTGTGAAATCAGCTGCAAAGCTGATCTGAAGAAATCCTGTTCCTGCAGCATCTGCTGTGCCAGCTGGCGTGACCTGCAGGCAGCAGCTGCCGGTGTGACTTAGAGCCCAGCGTGCAGACAGAGGACAGTTCAGGAGGAGTGATGGATTCCACCACCACACGTGCAGAAGCTCACCCCAAATCTTGGTGAATCCACAGTAAGATCTGAATGGGTTTGTACGTGTTTATACAGTGGCCAAATTTAGCTGCAGCTCAGTATCTCAGATCCTGGCATTTCCAAGAAGGATCTGAATGGTTAAAGCCACTGTCCCGAGTGTTTCTCCTTTAACAGCCCCATTCAGCTTCGCTGCATCTGCCTTGGTCACAGTCCAGCTAACACATGTAGCCACCTCCTGCCATCTGGGCAGGGTTTGACTCTTTCCTCCTTTCATTCCTTCCCCTCTGTATTATCTTTGGCCGTGTTCCTTCTGTTAATCACGGCTGGAAACAAGCAGGGTTTCACCTGCAGGTCTGGCAGTGTTGCAAAGTGGTTGCAAGCCACATTTATCCTACTAACCAAGAATGTAATTGCTCCCCTCCTGCCGCCTGAAAATGAACCAAACTCTAGACAGCACCGACAGACTGAAACGCGCAGCGCTGCAAGACAGAGAGAGCCGGGCCCAGAACACTTGCTTGTATGTGACAGCTTGTGCTGCAGCTCAGCATCCACCCCTGCTACCTTCCACCGCCCTCTCAGGAGCCAGAATTCCTGCAGACAGACGTGGTGTTTCCTTAGCATGAGTGTGCTGTCGGGCTGTTAGCCGTTATTAACTATGGTCCCGGTCACCATGGTCTTTAGGCACATTAAGTGCCTTTGTGGATCTGAGCCAAAGTCATTTCAAGGCAAAATAAAAATAGGAGACCTCCCTTGCCCCCCTCAAAAAAAAAAAAAAAAGCTCTGAAGGTTTCTATAAAAATGTGAAGTCAAAATGGCAGAGGAATTTTCTGTAGCGAGTGCAGCTGTAGCTACTCAGCTATTACTCATTACTGCTCTGATGTACATAGGATGGATGTGTTTTCCTCATGTTGCTCAGATTTTGTATTTGCAGTAACTGTTATTTACATACAGAATGCTTAATTTACCACCTACACAACCTGGCTCAGCCTGTGCCCCATTATTTCTTGCGGTGTTGTGTTCACACGGTGTATCATGCGAGGCCACGCTGTACCTGAGGAGGAGCCCACTCTCAGAGCACGGGCAGGGACTCACAGAGCTGGAAGGAGCTGGTTCCCAGCACAGCAACCAGGGTGATACTTCCAAAAAAACCCCAAAAACTCCAAAACCCAGGGTGATGCTTCCAAAGATCCTGTATTACAGTGCGCACAGCGGAAACACAGACCTGTCATCAGTCTCGAGGTGCTGAGGGGCCCCTGCCCTAGTCCCTGGTACAGATTTGCCAGTGATGAATCAGAAATTGCCCTGAGCAGCAGCTGCAAAGAGCCACTGCAGCATCATTCTGTCAGAGGCCAACTCCACAAAGCCATGCAGGTGCTGGAAGGGCGGTGGGGTTAGTCGAAGCATGAGCAGAGTTAACAAGGCTCAATGGATCACTAAGAGACCTGCTGGACTGTTTGTATCCCCACATCACAAGCACACAATATGACAGATCAGTTCAAACATCTTCAGAAATCCTAAGAATAGACTAAATAAATGAAATTTAAGTCAACATGGGCTTCTTAACATTTATTAATTAATCAGTGCAAGGCTGCTAATTAATGTCACGCTTGGCTGAAGCACAGAAAGAAACCTACCACTTGACAGCCGTCTAGATATGAAAAATGCCAGCTACACAGCGGGAGGGTAGACAAGAAAGCACATCCACATGGGATCCAAATCCTTCATCCTTCATCCTCTTCCTCAGCCAGTAAGATGCTTGTGAGCTGCTCTTCAGAGACAGTTAGTTCCTGGCAGGCTCCCATGGCCTGACTGAGGTAGACGGCGAGTATATGTTTGCACTGCAAATAACAGCGCAGCCAAGTTAGCAGAAGGAGCAACCCAGGAATGTCACGCTCTATCTGGAAGCCACAGAAATCCATCCTGGCCAAAATGGGTCTAATGAAGCGCTCACCCCTCCCAGGAACATGGTTCCCTCTTGGCATGCCAAGCCCTGGCACAGGCTGGTGCTCCAGTTGTCCCAGGTCAGTTCTGCCATCAGGATAATGTAATACAGGGATGTGACACACAGCAAAGTGTTACTGGCTGCTGATGTCCTCCCCACAACTGCAGATCAACTGGTTACCCTGAGCCCTTCCTCACTGGCACGGGGTGAACTGCACCACTTCATCAGCCAGATTCCATGTGGCAGTACTATCAGTCCCAGTGGCCCTTATTCCAAGAGACCAGGGATTATTCATCTCTTTAAAGTCAAAACAATAACGGGTAATTAAGAACAAAAGCCCTCCCTAGCCCTTGTAAGGCTCAGCTCTACCCAAATACCGCGGCTCCCAGAGGCCAGATAATGCAGTGGGTCAGACCCAGCCTGTGTGGCCAACTCAACACTCCTGTGTTTGCTCCCTTGGAAACTTCAGGCTCCTCAGGTTCAAGGAGCAGAGCACAGCCTTCTCCCCTGCTCCCTGTCCCGGCCCCAGGTTAAGGCAGACAACTTACCAGGAGGCTCTCGCTCTTCTGCAATACACTAAAACCAAAAGCAGGACACGTGCAGAAGTGGCAGGAACTGTAGCAGGTGTAGAGTTTGCCCGAGCTCCCAAGGACCTGAAACAAAGGCAGCCGGAGGGGGAAGAGCCAGAGGCAGCATTTGCTTTTCACTTCTCTAACTCTTAGCTGGTATCTGGACTGATGTCCTCTCCACAATGACTCACAGCATGGAACTGGAGAGCAGGTGTCACAACACAAAGTGTCCCCAAACACTGCAGTGACTCATCCCAGCTTAAAGCTCCTCAGCTTTCTCCCCAGGAAGCACTCCTGTACGTACACCCCAGCTTGGAGCAGACCTCAGCTCCAGTGACTTTGCTGCTAAAGAGACCAGGGAAAGGGCAGTGGCACCCAGCACTGAGCCCCCTCCCCTGATCTCCCAAAGCACAGCGAGCTGCCAGCCCCTCCAGTGAGCCCCCTCCCCCGGTACTGGCAGACACAGGACAGTTGAAGATGACAAAGACTCTCTTGTCGCAGAAAGGCCATTTGTGAATCCAGAGCCACCATGGGCCTGGGGACAGGACAGCAGCAGTGAGGCCTTTTCTAACCAGCTCTGGTGGCTGAAGGCTGCAAAGGCTCTTGCTGTTCTGCTCCCAAAACCAGCTGCAGCTACTGGAATCCAGTTCTGTCTGAATAAACAAAGTTGAAGTCTCCAGAGAAGAAGCCTCCTTGCTCTGTCTCTGCTGGGAACAGCACTGCCTCCTTTTCCCACATGCTGTTCCTCTGCAAGGCCGGTACTGAGGCATATTCCCTCTGAGTTGCACTTGCAAAGGGAGTCCTGTCCCCTGTCCCCTGGAGCTTTCTCTGCACCCCCTGCCCAACAGGTAACATCCCCCGGTTTAAGTTCTCCCACAGAAGTGCCCGTGCTCCACAACCCCCTACTCCCAGCAGATTCAGGACACAGACTCACATTCCCATTTCAGGGTAAACTATTATATTCTCAGTCTGGCCTCTTCCCTGGGCCCTCCTGATACTCGAGGCTGAGTTTGTTTCACTTGTGATTAAGTTTGTTTTTCTCTAGCCCCTTTGATTGTTTTTTCCAAGATGAAGTATTCCAACAGTGCCTTTTCTTCAGAATTGTTTTCCTTTGAGGAGGGGGGGAAGACACAGACGCTGCCAGATTTGGGCTGAGTTTAGTGTTCCCCCATCCTGACCTAGATGGCAAGAATGCAGCTTCTGCCTAACAAGGCAGAATCGAAAATCTAAAGACCAAGAGAAAAAGGTGCCTCTGTTTCTGTCCAGCTGTAGCCAAGCCAGGCACTGGGCTGCTTTCTTGGCCCTGAGATGCTGTGAGATTTCCTGCCGCTGCCCTCAATCTCCAGGCACTTGGTGGAGGAAAAATCACCGTGGTGGTGGTGGTGGTGTCCCTGCCAGCGTGTGGGGATGCAGGAGGGACAGCTGTGGCATCGTGGCAGCTATTGTTGCCACCAGCATACAGGTAGGCAGCACCACAGTCTGTGCCAGGACCTGATGCTCAAATCCTTCCCGGTGGGGCAAGCTGCCATACAGTTCTAGGAAATTAATTTAAAAAGACATAAAACCAAGAAAAATCCAATAAAAGTGCAGGATGTGAGCAAGGCAAGTGACAGTTGGCAGGAGGGCTAAAGCACTGCCTCTGCCTCTGCTAACTGGCTTCAGTCCCACAGCTCACACCATTCCTGCAACTCAGGCATAGCTACTAGGTGGCCCAACTCACCACTTGACACCTCTGCTGAATCCAGCACAGCTCCACCATCAGCCAGCATCCACCACCTCTGCACCAGGTAAGACTTATTTATCCCTGACCTTGAGTTAGAAGGGTTGGCTTTAGACTGCAGCAGAAGCAGGTAGTATACAAGCTCTTCTGGGATGATTAACAACTCTGAGGTAACATCAGCCCTTGAACACCCCATTGGTGCTACTCCTCTATTAAGCAGCAAGGGCATTAAATGACAAATCATAACTTTCACTTGACTGAGGGCTCTTTTTTCTCCCATCTCAGATCCTGAGGGCAAGAGCTGCCTACACTCCAGGCTGCAGTCCTAGGGCCTGTCTGAGCAGGGCCATTTCCCCCTGAAGCAGTACCTAAGATGTGCTGGGTGATATGGAATGCAAACAGCATTTTAGCCCGTGAAGTATCAACATCTCAGATTTGGCTATGACGACCCAAAGGAGTTTCACAATAGGACCAGCCTCACGGCCTCAACAGTTCTCCAGATCCAGCTGCAAGTAAAAGCACCACCTCACATTCCAGCTCAACCACATCTGGGTGCCAACAGCAGAGCTGACTTTCTGGGGAATAAGTGAAAGGGATGATTGCATGTGTCCAGGCAGCCATGGATGTCCTCCCACTCCCCACTGCACTGGGCACTCTCCTCTGCTGAGGGAGAAGTGCACACAGCTGGGATACGTGTCTGTACCACACACACACATGAATGAAGAGCCAGTGACACTACCCAGCTACTCTTAAGTGCAGTGTCCCACTGGGTGTTTCAGTTTCTATGGTCCCAGATTGTGTTCCTGTCACTGCTCCAGCCAGTGGCCTCAGGGGAGGCTCTGCTCCTTGTTTCTGCATCTCAGACAGCTGTGCTGAGGAAGAATTTCGCAATGGGACCAGCCTCACGCCCCCAGAGAAAATAACTCTTCAGATTCCTCTGTTAATGAGCTCATCAGCATGGCCTTAATGCACAGTGAAGCTCCACCACAGAGGAATGCTGCTCAGAAGCACACACTGCACCTGCAGGCAGGGACTGCTTCCTGTAGGCTGCCTGTCAGCTGGGAGAATGCAGGCACAGACCCTGGGGATGCAGGAGACCACTCACATCACACCCATCAGCTACAAAGTGCACTGAAGACTGGGCTTGTCCTCCTTTAACTCCTGGTGACCAGCCCTGACCTACCTGTCCAGGGTTTCCTCCTCTGCAGGGGAACTGGTGGCTCCCTCTACCTGCAGAGGCAGGAGGAGAGCAGCTCTGACACTTCCACCAGTTGAGCCACCAGTTGGGGCCATCAGTAGATATTAATCAATCAGCTCTCACTGAGTGACTGCAGAACTGCCTCCAGCAGTTTTGACCCCCACTTCAGTGAGGAGAGGGCTGGGCAGTGTGGAGGGGTTCCTGTCTTGCTGCAGCACACACAGTTTGAGGCAGAACTGTTCAGCAATGACCCTGCTCAGACCAGAACAGGGTGTCAGGGCAGCACCCAGCACATCAAAGCTCTCTTGCCATGCTTCTCTGAACTCCACCGTGTCTCATGAGGCTTCCTGCATCTAAGAAATGAATATTAGACCTCTTAAGATGCAGATAACTGCTGCAGAAAAGCTGTGAGCATGTGAGCACACAAAGCTCTGCCTTCGCCTGCGTGGCCCAACAAAGCTCTGTAAGTAGAATGTGACCATTTTCTGCCCAGTGGAATATTCAGCCAAGCAACAGAAAAAAAGGAAAAGCCTTTAAGCATTCAATTAGTGACACAGCTGCTGTCTAAGGGACCTGTAAGCAGTGCTTCTTAGGCTTTACCAAATATCCACAGGCAAACCTTCAACTAAAATCAAAGGCTGTGTTCTTGAGCCCTGTATGTTTATGAATCATGCCTCTCCGGAGGGGCTGATGTCCCCTCCAAGGCTCCAGAAGTGATAAAGACTCCACGTGCAAATCAAGCAATGCAAGCTCTGAACACGTGAAAAATGTTTGTGTCATTACCCAGGCCTGGCCTCACAGCTCTTCTCTTACCCTAGATGACCCCGAAGCTCAGCACCTCCAGTGGAGGAGAGAAGGCCCTTTGCAGGGAGGATATCTGGAAAAGTTCCTCTTGGCTGCTACAACAGTGAGCAGAGATTCGCCTTCCTCTAGTGGGTGAAAAACCACAGCACACGTTCAGCAACAGAAGGGGCTGTGCTATCTGAGGGGGTTAGTAGTGCTAGGCAGAAGGAATTGGGTGCTCCTTCACCAAAATCTTATGGGCACAGGGTCCCACTGCCTTAGCCAGAACACAGCACACGGTGTCTCTCTGACCGTGCGACCCCACAGCTGGTCAACAGCTCACAGAATGGACAGACTTGTACCCAACAGAGATGCCACTGGTGCTGTGGCACAGGAGAGCAAGGAACTGTCCATACAACAGAAAAGTCAGAAAGAAGTGCCCACGGCTCCTTTCTTCCCCTCAGCTCCATCTCTGATCCTGTGCTGTAAGGGGAGATTGATCTTCAGGGCTAAAGTGAGCTCTTCTCCCTAAAATGCCATTTTATGAAGATGTTTCTGTGATTCACAGACTTGGCTACAGTGAACTAGAATGAAACCCACGGATTTGGCCTGCACTGCTTCCTCCCAGGCAGCAAGGATCCTATTGCCAAGTGGAGGTCAAGAGTGTTCAGGACAATGAGGATGTGGAGTGCAACAGGGAAAGAAATGCAGCGATGGCAGATAACACTCTGTTACGTACAGTTTGTCAGAGGAAGAACTGCCTTTGCTGGATAGGATGAAAGTAATAGAGCAAATTTAGCTCTGTTTCTCAGAAGGAAAACTTCCTTCTGACCATGATACCCACAAACACGTAAGGATTTGTCTCTGACTGGCTGGGAGCCACAAAGGAAACAGTAGTGTACCACGCTGTTCTAACTCTAGTCATTGCTGCTGCTCTCCAGTATCACTTTAGGAGTTTGTAAAATACTGATATTCTCTCTGTGTTCATGCAAGTGCCCTACCACTTTCTGCAAGTCAGGAAAATACTGTCTCACATGTCAACTGAGCACCATCAGGAAACAAGACTGAAGAGGGGTGTGCAGTATGTACCTGGTATGCAGTCCTTCCGCTGGGGGACGTGACTCGGGTGACAGAACGCTGATCCACCAAATCCAAAGCTGGAACAGCAGATGGGCCAAATATGAACTTCAGCCTGAAAGAAAACGTGTCTCCAGTTAGGTCACACCACAAAAGGAGACCACCTGACTTAGCCTTAATCCATTGGGTTTAGCCCTATGGAGTCCAGAAGGCTTGTAGCCAAAGGTTCCCACTGCATCTCAAAATCCCACCAGTTACAGGGCCACTAACTACACCACCAAGCAATGAAGTGTATTTGTCATCCTCAGCTTTTCTGGCTTTCCCTGTCCTGTCCCTCGGAGAAAATCCCAGGACTCAGTCCTTAAGGACAGCCTCTACTCTGCCAGCTATTGGGAGATGGTTTTTGATATTGTTAAGAGAACTTTCAAATTTCCAAGCTGCTCCCAAACAGTCCCACATCTCTTTGCAAAATCCCACATGGATTTAATTACAAGGCATTTTAAACATTTTTCTTACACAGGACATGACAGGTTATGTGTTTCTTCTTCAGCACTATGACCCAAACACTATTCTGGCTGCCTGCTGCACAAACAGGACATGAAGTGGTTCCTGTCCTGAACTAAAATGAGACAAAGTGCATCAGAGATACAGAAGTGAGACTTTTTAGTCAGTCTCTACACGGCCATGTAGGTGAGGAGTTATCTTTGAGGAGCATTTCTGGTGTCACAGCCCCTTTACAGATCACTGTATTGTGTACTGTGCAATACTGTGCAGATCACTGTATTATTGCAAAGGGAGTGTAGGTGAAGCATGAGACACAAGTTGTCCTTACAGGGATCTGATCAGCCTTTTTGTTAGTATTCCTGTAGTTCTTCTGATACAAACTCTGTGTAGACAAAGGCCTGGCACTTTGATAATTAATTTATCAATTAATCTATCACCTAAAGCTGGAAATTTTGCTTCTGCCCAGCACCCTAAATATGACAGGTCTTCTTCAGGGGAAACTCCATCTCTGGCAGCAAAAGCAAGACATGCTGGCAAGGAGAAGATGCAGGAAGGAAATCCTGGGGGATGCACAGTGCTGGGGATCCAGCAGAGGTTACAGGTCACAGGCAGTGTCACACACACAGCCCAGTTATCCTTGTGGCAGTAAAAAACTGTCACATGAGCACAATGAGCAGAAACAGGGATTTTAGTGGAGGCAGTACCAGGTAAACAAGAGCTTGTGGAGGCAGACTCACTAATGCCAAGGGAAAAAGGGACACTTAATTGTGTCCTGGGACACCTTAATTGTGCCCTGGGACACCTTAATCATACATACAGGCTGCCTTGGGTCAGATTATTGATCAGTTGGTCTTGAATCCCACCTCCAGTCACAGCCCACACATCGTGCCTCTGAGCATGGAGAGAGCACGGATGATCCATAGCTCCTTGAGCAATAGGAAATGCAGCAGTAGGGCTCCTTCCTCACCCCAGGGGAACTGGTTTAAACCCTGGAGAATGAACGACTCATTTTGTAGTGATCACATCTCCTCTATCACAGTCACAGCTGAGGTATAAATTATTTTTTCTCTACCCACCAAACTGCATCAATAGGAAGCTAAAGGCCATCAGGGAAACTTAAGACACTCCCCTACACATGGAGCCACCAGAAAGCAGCAGTTTTACATCAGTAATCCAGCTACCAGCAGGGCTCAGAGACAGCAAATTTATTCCAGATAAACACCCAGGGACATCAGATGCCCTGTGTCACTCCACCCTCCCTAAAAACCCTTTCCCTTTCCTTCCAAGCAGGACACATCACCAGGCAGGGATGCACCAGTGCACAGCATTTATGGATCAGAGAGTGCCTGGGATGTGGTGAAGACAATGTCAGCCAGGTTTGCTTCCTGCAAAAAATTGCCTTTATACAACTCCCTCCTCAGCCTCGGGGCTGTGAGGCAGCACTGTGGAGGCACATGCTGGTGTTTGGCCACTGCTCAGCTCAGTGCTGTGAAATTCCACACCAGGAAGTGGATAAATAAAAGAGCTGTGAGTGCTGAGGGCACAGTAATTTCAATCTACATATTTATTATCTGTACATCCCTGCAAGGAGGATTTTATCTCCTGCTGATGCTGTGCAAGGGTATATGACAAGCTGTATGTCAAATATGGACATTTGTACCTTTAGCTTATTGTCCAGACAGCTCATAGGCTCAAAAGTTATTCTAGACCTGTATATCCAGCTGCTCTGAGTGTGTTCCAAAGAGCACAGGGGCAACTCAGTTAATTTTACCGACCTTTTATCCGCTGAGAAAAATCTGTGTAGTCTAGATTAGTTACAAGGGTAAACAACAAGAAAATCAGCAGTGATGAAAAGATAGCACAAAACATGAGCAGGAGAACAGAAGAAAGCAGAGGAACATTTCCAACTCTAGTGAAGACACAAAGAGCCAAGGCAGAGCCCTGGCGTCTCAGCAGCATGGCTGACCTATGTGTCTGAGTCAATCTCATTGATAACAAGCCAAGCAGACAGACTTATTCCAGGAAAACCAAACCTTCAGTTGCACAAACTCAAGGCAATAAGGATTGGCTTCATCTGAGGACTGAGAAGAGGTGGGTGGGGGAACATTCAACGTAAGACATTCCTTAATGATTAGGTTTGGGACTATAAGAGGGCCGAGTTTAATGAGTTTCAGTAACTCTTTCAAATTTAGGGAATTCTTTTTCATGTATATAATTCGATCAGTCTAACAGGAAATAAGTGAGGGAAATGCCCAAAGGAAACTCATGGACTTCAGAGATTTGGAAGAGATTTAGAAATTAAACCTCTGAGTTGCTGGTCACAGGGAATTAATGGAAATCTGACTGCCAAGAGTCACCACCCAACCATCATTAAACTTAACAAGAGAACTTCTATCCTCCTCTTTTATGACAAGAAGGAAACAAAAAGTCATGAGACCTGTCAAATATAATCCCACTCTTCAAAGGCCACTGTGGTCCCAGAAGAGGGTCATACCTTTCACAAGTGTTATGTTAGGTAACTTTAGACCCAAAGATATTTAAGGTCTGAAGGGTTCCTGGTGATGTCCTCTCCTGGCTAAATTACAGGCAGCCAAGAACACAAAGTTAAAGATAAATCTGAAAAACCTTTCTTACTGTGATGGTGCCTTTTCTCTACCTTCAACACAAATTAGTGAGGGTCACAGAAGTTGTGAAACTTGGATCTTTTAGGACACTGCTTGGGAATGACTGAAATATTAACAAGCTCCAGTCAACACCGGGACAATGAAGCTGACCTGAGACTTCTTCTAAACAGAAGAAATCTCTCAGGGTAACCTTCAAGTTAACAATTCCCTTGTGCAGAGATGACACATTCACTTCTCCATTTCTATCTCTCACGCCCATGACTCAAACAGAAGAAGGGATCTGGGGATGCTGCTGTGCTCACAATGATATGAACACAGCAGAGATGCAGCGCTCCAGCGGCGTGAATCACTCTGAAACACTGTTCACTCTCACAGAAAACTCATTCCAGATCTGAGGGTGGACTCAGAGCTCAGGTTAAACATTCTGGCTTTCTGCATGTTTAATCCACCCAAATTAGAGCAAGTCTTCACAAGAGATTCAGCAATACAGAGATAATTTCATGAATCTCTGGAAAAACCCTTGAGATTGTGGGTTTTTCTCACAAAAAAATGAATTTTGTTCATTTCCACTACCAGCAAAAACACGTAGCAACTCTGTATGAGAAACATGTACTGGTCAAACACAGGAAAAAAACAGTGGTAGTATGATGAGAGCAGGTTATCAACTGCCCTTTAGCAGGACACCTGGGACAAGAACTGAAGCAAAAGATACTCACCCCAGCAGCAGGTCATCAGGGACTGCAACAAGAAGAAAACAAAGTGTGATTGTGCTGAACTTCCCAACCATGAGAGACATCAACATCACAGGGAGGCTGGTGTCTGCCTAATGTACCCCCAGAGGCCACACAAGGCTCTAGCCATCCTCTCGGCACCAGAATGCAACAAGGAACAGCAAAATGATGTGAACTTACTGAGTACAGCAATTAAATATACATTCAGAACCACAGGGATTAATTTTAAAAAGAAATACAGAGCCCAAATACATTTACTTTTATAATATCCTAAATTTAAATGCATGCAGGAAAAGGCATGCAGCCTCAACATCTTACTCTTCCACTTTAAGAAGTTGGTTAAAAATATATATATATTGGTTTCCCTGAAAGTCTCTTGGCATGAGTTGAGAACTCTGGCATCAGGACTTTCAAAATGTTGTTCTTTTCCCAGTATAGTCTTGCAGGGCGCCACTAGTTTATAGCTTTTAATACAGAAGAAACGTAATGTCTTCACTTATTAGAACTTCTTGTTAAGATGGAAAATTACACTTAAGAAAATGAGTCTGTTTGTTTTAACTAACAGCCTCTGCTCTGAGCGTCCAATCTGATCTTTCTGCTATCGCTAATGGCACACAGTGTACTATGTCTCTGGATTCCACTGGAAGATCAGGACTTTTGACTTTAAAATCCTTTGTTCCAACAATTCAAAATATTTTCTATGACTTTCTATGATTTACACGGCTGGTTTGACTTTTCCAACTTTATTCTAATTTAATTCTCCAAAGTGATCGATCTGTTTGTTTTCAAAGTTATGTCTCAGTGTACCTCTTAGCACTATTTTATTGCTTTAAGGAGAAGTATACCTTAAAAGGAATGTTGACTTTATTTTTTTTCCCCTAGTTTACAACAGGATTTATAAAGCTTTTTTAGAAAGTGACATGTAGATCTTGGATCTACTCTAACCTGACAGGAGCCACACTGCAAGGATGCCAAAAAGCTGCCAGTATGGTCGCTCTGACAGTTCAGACATTAAGTCTCTGCCCATTCCCCACTCAAACAGATTTCTCTGAATGTTTATTTGGTGGTTTTTAGTGCAGTTAAAAATATTCCTTACATAGACACTTTCATTAGGAAGAACCATTCTGTGCTACTTATCAAGTAAACACAAACAGTGATATTCTTTCAGCACAGATTACAGAACTACGTTATAATCCAGAGTGCAACGAAGGTAACTGTTCTTAACTAGCTGCTAAAATTGGCCAAGGTGCAACTGTTGGCTTATGCTTGCTTCATTCAAGCAACAGGAAAGTTGTTCTTTGCCCTGGGATCACTAACACAACAGCCTCTGCTGGTCAGTCATCAACATGTTCATTTTTATGAAGATTTCCCTTTCAACTCTCGTTTTTAAGTTAATGAGTCTATAAAAACCACAGTACAAAAAATGCCCACCTAGAAGTATGTAAGTTATCATCCCCCAAGTGCAACCATTTACACTACAAGCTCTAAGTAAACAGTGTTGCCCTAGGTCCCAAGTTCAAAGTGTCCAACCTGGTCTAATTTTTGGAAGAGCTTGACTTTAAGAAGAGGGGCTGCTCCTCATTATCTGTGCTTCAAACTCCTTTGCATGGGATTCATTTTAAAAAGAAATCTGGAAGCCCAAATATCCTTACCTTTATCAGAGGCTAAATTTAAAAACATTGAAGAAAAGGCATGTGGCCTCAACATCTTCCTGTGCCACTCCTGAAAGTGACAGCCACCTCCTTTCACAGCAGAGTCTGCAGGAGATGCGAGGGGAGGCTGACAACCCTCACTGCTCCCTGAAGGTTTGGACAGCACCAGTATTACTGTCCTGCTGGGACAGTTCTGGTTTTATTTTACATACCATGTGAGGTCTCCTGAAAAGCCTTTTTGATCTCTTTCAAAAGCTCTTCAGCTACTGCTGGCAGGGTTGTGTCCATCTCATCGGCACTGGGAAACAGACAGGAGACAGCGGGGAAGCGTTACAGTGGCTGCGGTACAATGAACCGGGACGGTGTCTGGGCAGTGCCGTGTCCCGGGCCACGGGAAGGGCACCCTCAGCACCTTCGGAAATGCCTTTGAACCACCGTGTCAGAAGGAAGCGTTCCTCACAGCCGGGGTGTCTCTGGGACACCCCCACGTACAAACACACCCCGTGGAAGGGCGGGGGGG